GACGGAGCGTGGTGTCTGGCGTGCCGCCACTCGTCTCGGAAAGCACTTTTCGTCGCTCTCTCCATTGTTCGAGGTGTTCGTTTGCCAGATCTACGCCAACGCCCTTCAGCAAAACTTGTCGTACGGTGGTGCTCGCTACATCGGTACTGGTCGTGGTTTTGCCACTGCCCGCATGCCCTTCGGTATCCTCTACTCTCGTTTCGCCGCTCCTTCAATCTACCTTGGATTCCGTCTGTTGCTTATGCTTCTCTTTGGTACGATCACCGTCTGGGGATACTGGCTTCTCTACTTCTGGGTCTCCCTCATGGCTCTGTGCATCTCACCTTTCGTCTTCAACCCTCACCAGTTTGCTTGGGCCGACTTCTTCATCGACTACCGTGAATTCCTTAGATGGTTGTCCCGTGGTAACAGCAAGGCGCACGCAGCCTCATGGATCGGCTTCGTTCGTCTTTCGCGTACTCGCATCACTGGTTTTAAGAAGAAGGTGCTTGGTGAGCCATCGTCAAAGCTGTCAGGTGACACGCCTCGTGCCCGCTTTGGCAACATCTTCTTTGCTGAGATCGTTGGACCCCTCTTCCTGGTCGCCGTCACGCTTATCCCATACCTGTACATCAACTCCAAGACTGGTGTCACCAAAGCCAAGAACCAAGACATCTCGGCCGCCATGGAGCTTCCGAATGCCCTCATCCGCATCGCCATCATCGCGTTCGTTCCCGTTGGTGTCAATGCCGGTGTTGCTGGCATGTTCTTCGGTCTCGCATGCTGCATGGGTCCTCTATTCAGCATGTGCTGCAAGAAGTTCGGTGCCGTGTTGGCCGGTATTGCCCACGCTATTTCAGTTATCGTGCTCATCGTTCTCTTCGAGGTCATGTGGTTCCTTGAGGGCTGGAACTTCGCCAGATGTCTTTCCGGCATGATTGCTTCCATGGCTATCCAACGGTTCATCTACAAGCTCATGATTGCTCTCGCCTTGACGCGTGAGTTCAGAACTGACAACTCCAACATTGCCTGGTGGACGGGTAAATGGTACAACATGGGTTGGCACTCGATGACACAGCCTGGCCGTGAATTCATTTGCAAGATTACCGAGCTCGGTTACTTTGCATCCGACTTCTGTCTGGGTCACATTTTGCTCTTCATCATGGCACCGCCACTCTTGGTTCCTTACATTGACACGTTCCACTCGACCATGTTGTTCTGGCTTCGCCCAAGGTACGTATCCCCCTCTTGATTGCAGCCATGAGGCAAAGCTAACTTTGTACACAGTCGTCAAATCCGCCCACCAATCTACTCGTTGAAACAGTCGAAGCTGCGCAAGCGTCGTGTTGTCCGCTTCGCCATCCTGTACTTCTCGCTGCTCATCCTCTTCGTCGTTCTCATTGTGGCGCCTGTGATTGCGAAGGGCTTCCTCGATACCAACTCGCTCAACCTTCCTCTGAACCTCGTTCAGCCTACTGGGTTGAACAACAACGACACGACTGCGGCAACGACTGGTAGCTTCCGTGCAGGTGTCGGCTTTAAGGACTCTGACGGATCAGGCACAGCAGCTGCTAGCAGTGCTGCATCTTCGGCAGCGGCTAAGAGATGGGCGTTCAACGAATTTGCTTACTAGACGAAACAACGACTCTAGCACAAAAGCAAGACTACATAATAGACGAGAGTCTCAGCGAGACTGTCGAGCATTCATTTTTCGTGTAACACAGAACTTGTGCATTCAATCAAGGCGTTCCTACAACCATCAATGTGTACAACAGGACTGAATTTCATCTTCTTTGCTCTGTCATGACGCCGGGTAATGATGTTGGTCGTTGGAAGGGATGAGTGGAAGTGGTGTTTAATGCCAACCTGGCCGTCTCTCGTCGAGAGTGGCTGAAGATGGGGGAGTTGGGTTGAGTATATATGTCTTTTGCTTATGGGCTGGGATGCGGTCGGTCTAGGTAGACATAGGTTCCTGTCATATAGCCTGAATGCATCAGATTTCAATTCACGATGGATACCTTATTTTGCATTTCATAGGCACGTGACTGGCCAGTAGCAACCCCGCCTGTTCGCTCTATCGCAGGCGGAAAGTGGTCGGCGTAGATTGAGTCCCAACTGACAATCTAGCACGCATACTGTATTCATCTCGTGGTACGTCCTGACTTTTCTCTTTTTCCGCATTCCCATGCAAGTCAACGTTTTGCGGACGAAAGGTGTTATGCCTAGTCTGGCAAGAGACAGAGCTGTCCAAGGCGGCGGTCTTCAAATGTAGAGCTGCATTCACTTGGTATATCAGCTCAGCTCAGCTCAGTCTATGCATCACACTTAGACATACAGTTCTCGATGGTGTTAGTTCAATGGATAAAAGGCTGACATGTCATCACAGTCCGGCTTGCCAGTTGTAGGTAGGCTTTGGCATAGACCATGCCCGCCATGCTCGACGACCCTACGGCGGCCGTCATCTATCGCACCTCTGGCGAAGCTCCCTACCCCACGCCATATGCCCCGCTCTCTCCAAACATTGTCCCTCGTCAAGTCACGCTCCGAGACCGTTCGACCATTGCAACTCTTGTACCTTTCTCCTCGCCCACACAAGTACCCAAATCCCTCGTTGCCTACCTCTGCGCTCTGCTGAACAGGGAAATTGAAAAGGGCGATACCTATCCCATGATCAACCCTCTTCCAGAAGATAGTTTTGGCCCCTATTGGTTTGCAAACTTTGGAGCGATCATGTTCCTCGGGGAACTCGGTGGTGTGGACCATATGTGGGCCATGGAAAAGGAAATGGAGGCCAGGGGTGAATGGGACTGGGGCAGGACATGCCTGGGTAGCTTTTACGTCAAGCCAAATTACCCTGGACGATCTAGCCATGTCTGCAACGGAGGTTTCCTGGTCACTGATGCCGCGAGGAATCGTGGTGTCGGTAGATTGATGGGCGAGGGTTATCTGGAATGGGCTCCGAGATTGGGCTATACCTATTCCGTTTTCAACCTCGTCTATGAGACCAACATCGCCTCTGTTCGCATATGGGATGCTCTTGGATTCAAGAGGATAGGTAGAGTTCCTGGCTGTGGAAACCTCAAATCCCACCCAGACACCCTCATTGACGCCATCATTTTCGGCCGCGACCTCAATGGTGAAGCAGAGGACTACCTTTCCGAGGAGCGCTTCGACAAGATCCGTTACTATCTGAAGACAGGAATGTATCCCAACGGCAGTGACCGCGCTGAGAAGAGTCGTTTGCGCAGTGCAGGCGCTCATTACAGACTCGTCGCTGATCCTGAAGGCGCCGAGGAGAAACTCATGCTGAAAGACAAAGAAGTCATTTCGGACCCGCAGAAGCAATACGAGATTGCTCACAAAACTCATTCCATTGCACATGCAGGTATCAACAAGACGACTGCTAGCATCGCCGAAAAGTACCACTGGATTCGCATCAAGGAGACTGTCTCTCAGGCCATCAGGAATTGTGCCGAGTGCAGAGAGAACAACAAGCCAGGCAGCCAAAACAAACAAGCCCGAGGCAGTGGAGCTTCAGAACGCCAATCCAGTCCGAGGAATAAATTCCCGACTACGAGCACACAGCAAGCCGCGTCTGGCTCTGATCAAGACCAGACCCATCTCTCACCATCTCCTGCTGCCCTCGGCCAACAACAGCAGCAGCAATCGCCGACGCACTCGGAACACCAAAGTCAACCCCACGGTTCTTTGAATCCTCATATCCAAGACCATCACAACGCCATGCCCTTGGCAGACATGTCTGCTTATGAGGATTATGATTCCATGCCCGTGGATCCGCAGATTATGGAATATCAATCTCATGGTTTCGGAGTCGATCACCCGCATCCTGTACAGCAGCAGCATCACCAATTCGACCATGGACTGACTGAACCGCACCATCATCAATCACTCTTTAGCCATGAGCACCATGACGGCCAGGAAGGAGCAGATGCGCAACTACAAGCAGAAATGGAGGCGCAGATGGGCAGGGGACCTGGTGGCTCATGACTTGGGCCCTTAGTTGACGTTTTGTTTTTTTAGAATAACGGAGGCATATAGATGAATGGAAGGCATTGTATATGACCTTATTTACCAGCATACTGGTCAGAGCTGGTATGAAGCAAGATGTACCCCATTGCATCCAATCGGCAAGTCGAAAAACATGTTCAGCTGCTGCGCTACTGCAGCCTATCATCCAATAGAGATATATGAATGCATTCGACACAAGAAAGACCCATTCGGTATTTCAAGCTCTCAAACCATCCAACCCTTCCTTCACCGTAGAAGTATAGTAATCCCACATACCACAACGAGAAGAATCCCAACTCCACCACGAGCTCCACAAACCAAACCACCAAACAGAACCCATAGAAACAATGCATGCGTGTGCAGAGCGATGTGGTACGCCGATGCACGAAATGCAAGACGGACATTCATCAAGAGATTACAAGTTGAACAACTGGAAAAAGAAGAACATCAGAAGATCAGACATACAAACAGCAAAAAGAGCAAATATGAAATTGCACCATCCGTGAATCGAACACGGGGCACGGCCAACTTGCTAGAAGAAGATGGCAAGGCCGTAGTTTACCACTAACCCAATGGTGCTATTGATGGTTTTCCCGAAGTACCAGTCGACTATAAACTAAGATTAAACAGCCGAAGGGCTCTGAGCAACGCGGAGGAAAGGTCCGAATACGATGAACGAAAAATGTCTTGCTCCAACCATGGCGGAGAAAGCATAGTGGAGGAAAACAGCATCGATACATAATCCGTCGAGCAATCATCGTTTGTCAAAGCGTGAAAGGTAAAAACACAAGCTCGGACAGAGGAGTCGGCGTGACAGATGGGGCTACTCGTTGGCAAAGTTTAGCTTCATCATGCCTTTTGGTAGAAAAGAAATAAGGAGTGTTAAAAGTCTATAGCTAGAAAAATTCTGTCTAGCTATGAATGTCATTGTAGTTGCAGATACAAGCTTTTGTGGTTATCAAATGAGTGACTAGGAAGAGCAAAAAGATGTGTAGCTAAGCTCAGTTTCGATCCGAGGCCCTCCGGGTTATGAGCCCGGCCTGTGATGATTGTTAATTTTTGGAGGATGCTGTTGGAGAGGTGTTTAACTTACGCGCTTCCGCTGCGCCACTCAGCTGGTGATCACGTGATATATTGTTCTATATTTGTAGTATATATTGCTTTATCAGTCTTTTAATAGAAACAAACCTGCCCATTCTGCAATTGGTTCTTTTGCGTCACAGATTGCCTTGTCCCCCCTCCACAATATGGAAACACAGTTAGGAAAGACAGGGATAGGAATGGAAATCATCCCAGCGTGGGTGGCCCCACTATGGGAAGTGACTATGGTCAACAGCGAACCCAACTAGTATAACTTAGACAAGGCGTATAGGGAGTACATTAAGACAAAAGACCAGCATATGAATGTCTTTGCCAATGGCTCAGTGACCAATGGCCAAGCAGGAGTCGGGGTAGCAGTATACTCTAAGAAGTCAACACTACTGTCCACCTACTCTTGAAGAATCAAATCAGGAGGCAGTATTGACAATACAACAATGGAGCTAGTGGCCATTAAACAAGCAGTAACCCTAGCAGGGATCATATTAGAAATATTAACAAGTCAGGGGAAGCTAATCCCTTAAACAGCAATATAGTCAGACAGCTAAAAAGCCATTTGCATAATTAATTACTAAATAAGCTAAAGCGAAGCAGCTATAGTACAGAGCATAATACACATAATAAGAAAATACGCAATCTTTAAAGAATATTTAGCTATTTAATGGATTCTAAAGAAGTTTGTAGTTATAGAATACATAGAAGCTAACTAATTAGCTAAGCAGGTAATAAGCTGTTATATAAAGGCAAATATAGGCAAAATAATTCTAAATAGTGTAATATAAGTCTGGAACACCTTTTAGAATAAAATCCTAACTAAAGAATAATAAAGGCTCTAAAAGGCAGGTAGAAGCCTTTACGTAATAAACAGCGTTATTTTAGGTAAATATATAGCATTGCTCTATAACGCAATAAATAAGAAAAAGGCCTTTATCCTTTTATAGCTCTAAATAAGGCATACTTATTTAAATAAATTCCTAATAGTAATTAATATTATAGATTTAAGCTAATATAAATACAAATAGGAAGAGGAGACAGTCTAATATTTTATACTGCTATACTCTAAATATAACATTTAAAAACGCAAATTAATAAAAGTATTAGAAAATAAGTTTAGCAATATTTTGCAAATGCTAAAAGGGTATAACCCTTATATAGCAATAGGGCAGCTATATAGGAACAGACTAATAGACTAATAAAAAGCAAATATAAAAATAGTTTAGATAATTATTAAATATATAATAAATACTGGAAGATTAGATTTTATAAAGAAACGTAAAAATTGGAAAAACGAAACTGAGAGAGAAGACAGGGAGGGCGAAATAGAAAATAATAAAGAGGAATTAGAAGACAAAGATAAGGCAGAATAAAAAATATATATATATATATATATAAAGAACAAGGCAACTGCTAAAGAACACCTAGATAAAATAGGGGTACAGATACCCTAACAGATAGAGCTGCAGAATAAGACATAGACCCTATATATAGAATTGTAATTTAGTCAGCAATAAATAGTAGTTGCTTATATTTCTAATAGTAAGCGTATAGCATATAAAATAATCAATCAATTAATTAATCAATTAAACAGATTGCCTTGGCATGCAAGAAAAACAATATCGATATTCTTTATTGATATTCATTATTTTATTGACAGTTTCATTTACAAGCTAACTTGACAACTTAGATTATCCAATTCCTATTGATTCTAGATAAGGGAAAGGGTGCTGCTGAACCTAATTAACAACGCTGTTATGATAGTTATATTAGCGTTGTCCTTAAAGGGACCTAATATTGCTATAATAGTATAGAAAAGAGCTAGAAACACTAGACAGAGCAGAGGGTTAATTTAACCTATTTGTTCACTCTAGCTTAGCAACAATACTGTTTTTGTAAAAGATATAATAAAGCGTCTTATTAAAGGAGCAATAAACGCTCAAAATAACAAACTTAATAAATTGCTTAAGCAACTCTAAAGTCAGAACAAACTATTCAGTATTTAGAACAAATAACTCTAAAACTAGACAGAAGCCCTTTATTAAAAGAATATTATAATAATAGCAACATTTAATATTATTATAAGAGAAAACAAAAAGCTTAAAAAGAAGCTCAATAGTATAAGCGCAAATATTAAGAATATTAATACTGATATTAAAGCCCTAGATATTAAAGTCCAATTTATTAAATCCAGCGTTAATAAAGGGAAGACAGTCCTCTTGACCTTTAAACAGACAAGCTTGATATCCCTAGTTGACTCTAATATAGTAGCCTCCCTACTAATCTCCTATGCCTTAGCAGCGTTAGGCTCAATTAACCTATTATTGTTGGCTATATAGCCTTAATATAGTAACACTATAGTAATAATATTACCTACCTTTTTTAAAAAACTATACCAATTTCTAAGCGTTATAATAAACCTAAGCTAAATAATAGCTAAATAATGCAAAGCGATAAATAACTACAAAGCAATTAAGAATAAAATCTAGAAAGCTATTGCAGCCTAATAATCTATAAATAATATTATTATTAAAGGAATCTAATTTAAGACAAGGGATATAAGGATTATTATTTAGAATAGAAAAGATGTAGTATAACTGTAAATAAATGAAGTATAGGTCTATTAGGTATTTAAGATAGCCCAAATCCGGGAGGAGGAATTCTTCCTAATTAAGGTTGACAATATACATAAAACAGCAGTTCTAGTACTAGGCATCTGTAAAATCAAATCAGAACTGGCAGCTGAATTCAGTATTGAAAATAGGTTTATTAAAGCTATTAAAGCATTTTAGCTTTCTAAAGAGGAGAAACTTACTAGATTTATAATAGTGTACCTTAACACAGTAGAGGACGCCTAGAGAGCGCTTAAAGAATGTATAGTTAAAGTTAATAGCAGTATAGCTATAGTTAATTAATATTATAAAATCTAATGCCTTTAGAGATGCTACAACTGTAACAAATATAGCTACTACTAGGCTAGATGTAGCTAACCTCTAAAGTATAGAAAATACATAGATAGTTATAAAACTAATAACTGCATAGCTATAATACTAAAATACGCAGCGTATAAGGGACTATATACTATAATAGACTCTAAATATGCAGTATATTAAAAGGAGATTAGTAGAATCTAAGGTAGAAACTAACTCTCTAATTAGCTTATTAAAATAAGGGAAAAGGACTAGCAGACAGTTATAAACTAATGTACTAGACAGAAAGTCATATAAGCAACGTATAATAAGGGATACCTGCTTCCTTCTAGCAAATGTGAATAGATAATCCCTAGTCTAGCTCAGCCTTATTAACAACTAGTCTATTAGTCAGTTTATAGCAATTATAGTTATAAAGCTAAGCATTACTAGTATTAAGAGTAAACTATACATTTTATAATACTAATATTAGGTTACTATAATATTATCTATATATTAAAAAGGATTAACGCACTACGCGTTTTAATTAGTATTTTATATTTATAAAGATATTTCATTTACCTAAATTCCTATAATATTGTTTAATATAACTGTAAAAATTATTATTATTTTAATAAAACATATTTTTATAGCGTTAATCTATATTCTAAGCTATAGCTAATATAGGCCTTCTAAGCAGGACTTAGAAGAGACAGCCACTACTAGGCTTAATGCTCTAAGCAAAGCAATCTAGGAAGTAAAAGCTAAATATAGAGAGAACCTTTATATTATAATTAGAAGTAACTTTAATTGTTACAATCTAATATAAAAAGGAATCAATATGCTATAGTCACAATATAAAGGAGAAAGTGAACTAATGCTCTAATAGATGCAATAATATAATACTTTTTTAGCTTTATTAAGTAGTATAATTATATTCCTATAAAAACAATTTGGAACTACTATTGATTTTATACTAGTATCTAATTTAATAGAAGACTAGGTTATAGAATGTAGCATCTATTTAACTTAATATAGGTTAGACTATGAAGCTATAATATTTCGAATTAATAAGGCTAAAATAACCGCTTTATAAAGAGCTAAGTACAATTTTAGAAAAATAAACTAGGACATAGCTATTAAGGCGCTTAAGGGATAGAGACTGTCAGTTATTAACATTAATAATACTATTAAGCTTAATTAGGTAGTTATAGAGATCTAGGACACTATAAGCCAATATATCTGTAACTATAGCTCTACAGTTAAGAAATCCCTATATATAAAAGCATAATAGAATAACGAACTTACAGAACTATATAATAAATATACTTAACACCTAAACTAAAACATTGCGTTACAAACTATAGGACTAGATAGTAAAGAAAGCTACTATAAAGCTAGGTAAGCTAAATACTAGTTCTATAAAAGCATCTATAATAAAAAACGACTATATTGGAATAAATTCCTAATATAGATTAACAATATCTAGAAAGCAGCCTAATACCTAGACCTATAACTATCAGCGTTTAGCAATATCCCTATTATAGTTACTAATATTGAAAATTAGGAAATGGAGCTTAAAGGAGATAAGGCTAAAGCAAATGAACTACTTCAATGCTTTTTCCTACTAGTCCCTAAAGGATAGAAAGAGAATGCGCTGAACTTTAATATAAGACATATAGAGAACCTAGATATCTTTATTAAGGAAGTAACTAGGGCAATAGCTAAGATTAGCTTATATAAAGCATTATATATAGATAATATTCCAAATATTGTATAAAAACGCTTATAGTCTATTTTAAATAACTAAGTTACTAATATTTTTAATGTATTATACTAATTAGAATATATACTAACTATATAGAAAATAGCATAAATCTTATTATTATAAAAGCTAGGAAAACTGGATTACTATATAGTAAAAGCATATTGCTTTATTTCCCTTTTAGCTATTTTAAATAAATTAATAGAACTTATATTAGTAAAAAAAATATTATATTAAGCTAAAATGTTCAATCTTCTTTTAAAAACACAATTTAGCGCTAAGCTAAGACGCTTATATAATTAAGCGCTACTTCTCTTAATTAAGAAAATCTTTAAAGCATAGCAATAAAAG